CTAGCTGCTGGTGGGCTCACACACCGCTTCTGGTGGGAGCTAGCGAGAAATGCGTGACCTACATACCTGCCTTTGGAGCCCTGCTTATGAGCCTCAGGTATGTATGTAACATCCCTTGCTGTTTTTAAGGGGCCCAAACTGGTCTGAAAAGACTGCTGGAGCAGAAGGAGCAGTGGTGAACCTGGTCTGTGAACAGGACAACCATTGCCTCTTCCCACTGCCAACCCACCCAGGTGGCGCAACCCTCTCCTTGGCTCCCTGACTGCCTCTCTCTTGCCCCAGTATCCTCAGCTAAAAGTCCTTCTCGGAGCATTTGGGGAGGAAAGATTTATTTTTCACCTTACAGCAGTAAAGCGGCTCTGAGGTGCTGAATTCTTGTTTCTGCCTCAAATTTCCTCTGTGACCTGGAGCACAGTTGAGTTTTCTGGCTGTGATGTTTTCCTTCCTTCTGACGAATGTTATAAATTCTGTAGTATATCCAAAGCGTCACACCACTGTGATAAATGGGGTGGGAGGGGGCAAATTTTGTAAGTCTTGACAGATAGGAAACGTATTTTTCTAACTATGCCTCTTGAAAGGTAATTTTTTTCATGACATTTATGGCTCCGGTAATTTTAGGCATTGGTACAGTTTTTTTGGTTAGGAACTTGTTAGGCACATCATTTTGCATGCACTGACTGACCTTTGGAGGCTTCTATTTCTGACCTCATGAACAACGCTTGGGTGAGACATGACAAGCTGATAGGTTGTGATGATGCGTTCACAGTTGCCCACTGGTCTTGATGTGACGTGGATGCATGTGTTTATGTCCCAGTGTTATCAAAAACCTTGTCTATGACTCATATTAGAAGCAGATGCTTGATTTTGACATTTATTTCAAAACAGCTCTGCAGAGTGAAGAGGAAACATGGATATCGGGACTGAGAGACAAATGGATAAAGCAGGGCTGTATTGGTATGATGCCTGTGTTGTTTTGGAGATTCTATTTTTGCTTTAGCTAGACCCACAAGCATGCACACAGGAAGCTAGTTTACTTTTCATGTCATTGCCTTTGCGCAGATTTGAGAAATTAAACTTATCTGGGGTATTAACCTCCAGTATGCCATATTGACCCAACTACAGCGTGTATTCACAGAAGGGCAGCTTTACGTTCTCATCACTTCATAACATCCTGCATGAGTGAGAAAGAAAGAGAAAAAGGTGGTGCTAAATATCTGTTCTATTCAGGGAAATTATACTAGCACAAGACAGGAGGGAAACCCAGGAGACTTTGGCTCTGGCCATGCTGTGGCTGAGTCAGTGACAGCTATAATCATCACCTGATGGGTGCAGCAGGACTGTTTTTTATCTCCAGGTATTTCACCATTGGTCAAGAGAAACATCTTATTAAGTGATTCTTTGAAACAGGACATATGTTTATCTGGTTTTCTTTCACTGCTCACTTTTTGTTTGTAGCTGGTATGTCAAAATGGTTGTATGAGTGGAATGACCATGCAAACAACTCATCTTTACATACAGCTGGCTTGTATTTCCAGTGGAGCTACTGCAGCAGACACACTTGACAGTCTTCCACACTATTACTTCACTGGATTTTCGTTTAAAGAAAGGGAGGAAAGTGTCACATAGAGTTTGCCTTAATGTAGCCTGTTATAGAGAGTATGTATGTAGTATTGGTAAAACTACCTAGCTCTAGAGGGGTGTGCCTGTGAATGTGACAGGGACAATGCCTACGTTAAAGTGTATGATTTACGATGCCAGCAGGACATCACTTCCCAAGAGGTCATAATTACTTTACGGAATAGCCTAAAACTAGGACCCTGACCATGCAAGCATCTTTGTGGCTGAGGGAACCCCTAATAGACACACTGTAATGTGCATTGTAGTAATAGCTTGTAGGGTCAGTGCCTCAGTTTGCCATAGCTCTGCCTCAGAGAAAATAAGTAGAGCTTGTCTCTTGGATGATTTTTATGAGATAATAAAAGTAGCCTGACTATAAAAGCTTCTATCATCCTGTGCTAGGCATTTAGTGCCCACTGACATATGAGTCTATTGGCATTAGTGCATATGCACCTTGAAATTTTAATCTCAAGTCACTTTCAATAATCTAACTTCCTTTAGATTTTTATGTTGCTGGGATTCAGATTTTTTTTGAACGTAGCAATGAATTAAGAGCTCCTTCCATTGTATATTTGAAACGATAAAATGAAATCCCCTGAAGGCCTGCTAAATTTAATGGAAAATTGTAAGAGGTCAAAAATATGAAGCGAATTAAATATACTGAATGTAAAAAGCTAGCAGACAAACTTTAGATGCTGCAAGTTAAATCATCATGGCTGATGTTACTGCAGTATATTCTGCACAACTTACTAATGACTAGGCCATTAAGTTTAACATGTTAATGAAATTTAAGGGTCAGAAGGCCATAAAGAAATACAGGCTAAATTCTCTCACACTACAACTTTTGCCAAATCTAAAGTCAGTGTATGTCCAGTATCAGAGCAAAACTAACTTCTGTGCAAATAAAGATGGCAGAATGTGATTTTATAAAAATAATGACCACGTTCCAAGAAAATTCCTAGATTACACTAAAAAGGATAGAGATAGGATGCAGTATTTCTACAAATCACCTCCTGTATGTGTCACTGACAATGATCTCTAAAATCATTCTCCAAAATGCTGTCCATATATGTTTTCTGAAATCTAAGCCTGACATTGATAAACATGGTAAAACTTGGTGATTGCCATGGATGCTCTACTGACTGACTCATGGCAGCCTGGCAAGCTCATCCCATCTCCGTGGGCTAAATACCCTCAGTAATGGTGCGGCAAAAGCATTCAAGAGTGGACACCTTGCCACAGACCAAAAATCCCACAGCACTCAGCAACCGAACAGGAGGAAACGCAAGTTTAGAAAACAATTTTATTAGACAAATTATTTAGACAAATTATACACAGAAAGCTCTGCCACTTGTAACTGAGGCCTCCAAAAAGTGTTTTGTGTATCTGTATAATAGGCAACACATCAAAATAGGCCTATTTTAAATATCGTACATGGTTAACAGGTATTTTTAATAGCTAAAATCACTGCAACATCTGGTATGTCCCTACGTAGCTTGTTGGAAAGAAATTTTCTTTTTTTTTTTTTTTTTTTTTTTTCTCAGAAGTGTGGATGAGTTCATGAATGTTACAAGGGGGAAGCAAGTTGTGCATGCTTTTAGACACTTGCTACCCTGGAAACAAAATGGCCTTTTGCACGATAAGAATTTGTTCTGCCTTACACAGTAGACAAATATTTGAAGATTTAGTACAAACAGTGACAAGTACAAGATGCTCCCCCAGAATAGAATTAGCATTAAAATAGAATAGATCTGAAGAATATACCTTTTAATTTATCCTAAAGCAAATCACATAGGCTGATTCCTATTAATCCTAGCCAAAGAATGAGTTAGGTTAAAATAAGTATATGGTTGCATTAAAAAATAAACCAAACCAAAAAACTCACAGGATAACTGCTTGCTTTCTACTTAACCGCATTTTTAGTTTTAAGGATTACAAATTGAAAGCTCTTCCTACGTTTCTAACAGGTAACAGTGTTACTTTAAAAAGCTGGTGCCAAAGTGGGCACTGATTTTGCTCTCACTGCTGTTCTTTCTCTTGTTCTATACAGTTGACATTAATGTAAAAAATGCATAGCTCCTCTAAATCTACTTAACATATAAAGGGTTAAAATGAGCGCCTGTTTATATTTTTTTTTCCTTAGAACAATACGTGATTATAATTAAGGCCACATCTGTATTTCTCAAGGGCTTATTTTTTTCTCCACTAACATCATTATTGTATTGATCGACTGTACTGATCTGGACAATAATTTATTAACCTTTGATCTATATTTAAACTTCTCTAGAGCTATATTAGTTGTTCATGAACATGGTGTACCTAAGAGAGAGTTCCATTTGTCTAATTAATTAAAAGTAAAATTATCAAGGTTAGCCTTATAGAATGCTCATAGCCAACACAAAACCTAACCAAAAGAGTTACACCTAGGTACAAATGTTAAATTGCCCTGGATGTTCTAATAAAAAAGTATAAAATATGCTCTGTTGGCAAACGATGCAAGTCAGAATAACATTAAAGCAACCTGTCTTTTCTAAATGAAAAGACCCCCTGCACTGTACATCTTTCCTGTATACAACACATTTTTACTAAGCTTTATTAAATGAATTGCAATAGCAACAGCTGCCATTTTATAGCTATATATACATGTATATATATATACATACCTGTGTGTATATATGTATATATATATATGTATGAGATACTAATTTATTTAACACAACAGAGGCTTCTGCCATATGATACAGTTTACTGTACATAAGAAAAACTTTTTAACACTGTACAATCACATAAAGGTCATATGCACTGGTGCAGTGCAAAAGTAGATTTAACTGTAGTCTTTACTGGCATAGTAATGGCTTTTTGTAATCCTACAAAACTGCATTCTCGTATTGTGGGGCCTGAATGGTCTTTTAACTTTTTTTTTTTTTTTTTTCTTTTTGCCTTTTTTTAACATTTTTCCATTTTTTAAACTGCAGGGTTTGCCTTTGTCCACAGTTAACAGGACACACAGCAGTGGAGCGCTGATCAGATGCAGCAGAATATATGAAAAGGACTTAAGTTATTGCAGTTATAGTAAAAAAAGGTGGTGAGAGAGGGAGGAGGAGCAAATGCCCTCTGTAAAGTAATCCTCAGGGTTTTTCTATGCATGAATCGCTGCACGTTTCCTATATTTAAAGTATATGAAAAGCCTGAAGTAACCAACACCTAACGTGGCGATAAATCAAAGAATAAGTTATTCAAGTAGTAAAGAGAATAAGGGGAGACAGAGGAGACCAGACTGAGAAAGCAGAGAAGAGAAGGAGGAAGAGTTGTTACTAATAATCCTGATTCTTAAATAAAATTTAAAAATTTAAAAAGAAAAAAAAAACCAAATCAGAAAAAATCCCTCAAAAAAAAAAAAAAAAAAAGGAAAAGGAAAAAAGGTTACATCCATGTTAGTCCCACAATATTACAGCTGCTCCTTGCAAAGGGAGTCCTAAAAAAAGAAACAGTGAAGAAACTTGGTCTGATGCTCAGATGGAGGTGCCTCGGTCTGGGTCACTACCGATATTCAGCCCCAGAGTAGGAGTTGGTTGGTAAGGGATAGATGACATTGTTTTGATGGGGCTTCTGAAAAAGCCACCATTGGGTGCCCTGTGCCTGAAAGGGCCAGTTCGGTGCTCGGGCACGCTGCCGAAGGAGAAACTGAAGCAGCTTTAGCAGACAGCGTGCGGCTCAGAGTCTGGATCTGTTCTGGTATGAAGGTGGTTGTGGTGATGTGAGTGTTTCTGAAGTCACTGATTTGCTCCAGTGCCTGACGTGTGGGTAAAGTGTCAATGTCCAGCGGGGTCAAGTCAATCGATGAGGTGGAGAACTGTTTATGGGGACTGTCGTCATCTGTGCAGAGACTGTTCACACGCCTGTGGAGGTGCTCCAGGTCGATCTCCTTGTCATCCTGGGGAATGAGAAAAACAAGAAGCACCGCTCACCATTGCCATTTGTGCTGGGTCGAAGCTCCACGGTGCGATCAGAACTGCTCAGGAAGCACAACGCACAATTAACTACAGCTGGCTGCTGGCTGACGGCATCTCTGAACTTCACCAGCAAACACCCCCACCGCCTCAGACTGAGTGGGCTAAGCCAAACTGAGGCAGACCCTTACACCACAGCTACCTTCAAATCCTGAATCTGAACAACAAAACTCCAAGCACTACGTGTAGGTTTCCACCAGGAAAAGCCAGGCTCGGAGCTAGCTGGGTTGGACTAGCAACAGTTGAGTAACAGTAAACTTCATGCCGTGAAAGCAAAACATAATCTCAAATGCCTGCGATGATGATGCCAGTTCTTCAACTCCGCAAGGAGGACTAAATTTGAATGTCAACATGGGAGGCTCTGAGGGATCAGGTTGCCATCTTTGTCATCCTCTTAGGGTTTAAAGAAGGACTAAATACATCTCAGGTTGCCTTTTACCTTTATAATATAAATTGTGGTGTAGAAAAACTGAACTTCCAGACAAAAAAAAAAAAAGCACTGGTGATTCATTGACATCACACAGAAAAGAGTACACCAGGCAATTTTAAATTATGATGCCAACAGAGGGGATTCATTCTCCCCTTACCTACAAAGAAGCAATTCCATCAATTCTGATGGAGTTATGCCCTTGTGGCTGAGAAGAAGGGAAGGTGGCCTGGGGTATTCATTATAATATATCACCTCTCCTCTTACCTCTGTCCCTTTTCCTTCTTAAATCTCTCCTCCCAGAGAACTCAATTAAAACAGGTTTGTTTGTTATAATTGAGAATTTAATGCACAGAAGTTAAAAAAGAGGAGAAAGTCCTGGGTGAGACAATAAACCACCTGTATTGTACATAGATATTTCTACTGAACTGCAAAGTTTAATTCAAGTGGCATTAAGTATACATGTACACAGGTATTCCCTCAGTCTAGGTAGCACAGCTCATTCAGAACAAAAATCAATTTCAACTAACCTTAAAATTTACCTTAATCTCTGTGAAATCTACTGGCTCTTCCAGGCCACTAGAAATATCTCACACTCTAGGACCTCACAGAGGATAATTAGGCAGCCGACAGATGTGCACTGATGACTTCCAGCCTTGATTACTGCAATTCAATGACTGGCTTGATCCAGAGTTCCCTGAATCAATGGCAAAACTCCTAGTATACCGAATGGGCTTGAGATCCCTCCTTTGTCTAGGAATAAAGTCAAGCACTCTGAAAAAGTCCACACCTAGAACAAACTGCAGGAGTTCATCTACTTAGCAAAACAGATCACCGAATATTTGCACTGGTACCACACCAAACACAAGAGACCGACTGGAAGGAGGCTGAGAAGCCAGCTCCCCTCTGGGATTTCACCCTCCGAGGGCAGGGACAGGGAGACAAACTGTGGGAAAAGGGGCAGGGAACAGGGCATCAGGGATCTCCCAGGAACTGGGTGATCACTGATCACATAGGCTTTGGTGTGAACTCATCATGGGAGGGAAAAAATTCAGTGCTCATTTCTTGGACTTAGCTTTCTGTCTATAGTTTATTTACATGTGGACATAGACATGGATGCACATAACAACCACACAGGTGACACCAAAACCAAACGCATTCACCAAACGCTCTCTCCTAAAAACTTTACAGCTGCATATGGATGCAGAAGAACTGGGGCCACATTGAAAGCTAAAGAAATATACAGAGGCTCCGTTAGCATGTGAAAGCCATGACTATATCTCTTGAGGGACAGTCCTAAATATTTTTCCTGGTTTTTGGTGGTTTTAGTTGGCTTTTGGTTTTGTTTGATTTTTCCTTTTGTTGTTGTTGTTTGCTTGGGATTTTTTTCTTTTTAAATTTTGAAAAACATACAAATACTTTGTAATTTAAAATGCCAATTGGGAAATAATAAGAATTACATCACTTCTGAGCCTCTAAAAGTTACTCAAAATATTCTTCTTTCTTGTCTTACAGAGATGCATTTGGGGCTAGGGTCAGACCAGTGAAAATATATAAGCGGTGATATTCTCCCATGCTTAACCCACAACCCGATCTCCACCCAATTGATACACCAAAATGAGACCCACTCACAGTAAGATTGTGCATATTCCATAATATGATCTTTCCTCTTCTCTCTTGTGTGATCAGTAGTGAAATATTCAGCAGTTTTCACATTTAAATTATCATCAGGCTTCAGAGTCAACATCCCATTGAGATTACTGGGGCGGTTCATACTTCTCTCAGAGCTACCGTTTAAGGCTGTCTGCAGACTCAGGCAGACATCATTGAATGGATTACTTCTGGTACGCGACCGAAATGTTATCTTCGCAACCATAAGACAATTTTTTTCAGTATAAATGCTTGCATTCTGGAGCACAAGATGGCAGCCACCAGGAAAAAGGGTTGGCTTGCTGACCACAAACTGGCCCAATCTGACCCCCGACTCTGGACTAGTGGCCTGGAAGAGCCAATGGATTTCATGGAAGCTAAAATGAATTTTAAGAAAGTTAGTTAAGATGTATTTCTTTGCTGAATGACCCCCACATCCAGGATAGTGGGGACATTCAGCACATACGTCCATGTTAAACTCAGTTTTGAGCCAAGCTTTTCAATTTAGCGTTGAGATGCAATTTTAAATGCTGAGCTAATGACCACGTAACAAAGATCAAGGAGGCCAAATTATACCATTTGTGGAAAGTACACATGTGAATTTTTCTAAGTCAAAATTGAAGAAGGAAATTTTATAGTTATATAAAATAGCCAGGTTGTTTTTTCTTTTCCTTTGTTATTTATTTTTATGTTTTGCACCAGATAAATATGAAGTATGAAGTTCTGAAAGTTTGGATAAACAACAATCTAGTAAATTTTAGGCTTTTTTAATAATTTACCAGTTGAAACTATATGGTTTCCATTCCTGAGAAACCCAATTTAAAGGCTAGAGATTTTTTTTTTTTTTTGTCTGGTCCAGATCTTGAACAAAAAAAGCTTGGGAATTAAAACAGGCAAGAAAAGTTTAAACGTATTCTAACATCAGTGCCAATGCTGTCTAATTAGGTAGTATAATTAATCCTGCCTGATTACACAGCATTAGATTAGCAGGAATAAACACAATGGAGAAACTGTAGAGCAGGCGAGACCACTGCAACAAATTAACAGCAATACCCCACAAGCTACACAGATGTGTCTAAACTGCACAGATAGAAAAGCTGTAACTGAGAGTGCTACGTTAAAGCTTGTTATTTAGGTTCAGTTTTGGGCATCTCTGCCAAGTACATTTTAATAACTTTTTTTTTTTTGTTTGTCTCCTAACGTTTTTCTAGTATTTTGTAGAGCTAAAGATTTAATTATGAAGGTGAGAAATTTGTTTTAAGACTGTATAAGGCTCAGATGGTTGGTAAAGGGACAGGTAAATTGCCACGGGAAAGAAAGCATTACACGTGCAGGTGCAAAAGCAAACTCTGGTGTAAAATAACATATCTCTCCGTGGTCTCTGTCCAAGGTTTTCTGAAAAAAGTCTGTAGTAGATTTCAGAAATAAGTCTGGCCAAATCTGAAAAACTGAACATACTCTTGCTTCCCTGGACTTCAGGTGAAACAATGAGAACTGAAATTCATGGAAGTCTCAAGAGGTTAACATTTCTGAAAACAGGGATAAGCTTATTTAAGAAGCTAATTGATTATTAATGGGATAAACTTTGCAAATCTATTTTGAAAGACTCAGTCACTGATCTTAGGGGATATATTTTTCAAGAAGAATCCAAGAAACCTTTGAACTTACTGGTATGAATTAGCTCTCACCAAGGGGAATAATGAACTGAATATTGATGTATTAATAATGTACTATTCTGCAAGTAACATTGTTTTACTCAGAATAGCTGCATATTTATACATCATCAATATAATTTTCCATTCAAGCTTTTCTAGAAAGAATAGCTAACAAGATTTTGAGGAACAACATTTACCTTAAAAAATCAGCAAACTAAGGAAATATCTCTCAATTTGATTTCCCACCCTCTCTAATGATATAAAGTCAAGGCAGCAATCTTTAGGGTGCATGAAAATTCCCCAGGAGAAATGGAGGGTCTAATACCTCTTTTGATGGAACCCGGGAGCCTTTCCTTTTATTCCACCACGTTTCCAACATTGCAATGAAACAGGATAGGACAATGCCAGCAGCAAGGATGCAGAAAACACCTGCAAAACTTTTTATGTCCAGGGCACCTCCTTTCTGTTTGGTATCCACAGATGAGTAAAGATCACATTGACCGTTCTTTGGCCACCACTTATGCTTCAGTATGTCCATGTCGCCATTCTGCTGCAGCTCCAAAATCCTTGAGGAGAAAGCACAGAGTCAGGGGTTACAGTGGGGCAGTGGAGGTGGCACCTGAGAGCGTGAGGATATAATCCAACTACCTGCAACATTCCCATGTGTCTTGGAAAGCCAAGCAGCTGATGAATCCAGATGGACTGATTTAGCCAGAAAAGAAAGCTTGAACACGGGGTCATCTGTAAGACTGAGCATATGGATATGTATGCTCTACTCTAGATACAGGAAAGCACACACAAGTCTCTCTTTCCTTCTTTTACGACCCTTAATGAAAATGCTTTACTTAATAAACCGTGTTTTCTTAACTGGCTTTCACTACAGACTATGTCAGTTGACTTCTGCAGTGCATTCGATATTTGACAATATATATTTTGTATTTTAATCACTGGAGACATATCAATTAAAAAAAAACCAAAACAACAAACCAATGAAAATACAGTTCAGTTGTACCACAGGATACATGTTACTTGATTGTAAACTGATCTTTATTAGGTTACCTACTTGTTGCTTTGGAGAGAGAGCAGAATCATAATAATTGCAGTCAGTGATGACCTAAAGTAACCTTGCTGGGAGCATGTGACCTGCTGGTAAGTGATTTCCATAGGAAGGTTCTTTGCTGTGGAATTCACTTACCTTGCACCTACATACTCAGAACAATGCCAAAGAGTTACTGGGCAGCTTGCAAGGCCAACGTATTTAGTTAGACTTCCTGTGGGATGAACAGTTTGAGAAACGAGAATTTTGTTTGGAAAAAGACTTTCATATGTAGTTCATTTATTCCTGAGGAGAGTGTTTTTTTAAAAACATCCAGAATGACTAGAGTATCAGCTGGGTGCATCTGGTTACCCAAAATAAAAAATTCAATGATTACACTTAAAAAGAATAAAACAGGGGGAATGTTTTCTTTCATGTAATAAATTTGTTTTTCATTTCAGAGTTGGAAGGCAAACAATTACTTGTGCAATCATTTGACACAGCATGCAAAAAATCCAAGTGCACACAAACCAGCAGAGGCCTGGGATATTGCTACCAGAGACTGTACGGCATCAAAGGGCGAAGAAAAGCTGTCCCACTGACTCAGGGCAACCATAACAGCTCAATGTGGTGGTCTACCTCAACCTCAGAAAAATACATGTATTTTGAAAGGGAGTTATGAAAGGCAGTATGAATGCACCTCAGAAGCGCAGGGCAACTGCTCTGTACAGAGACCATTAAATCTCTAATGCCACTTCAACAGGTAGTCATGTCAATTAAGCCACTAAATTTTCTATGGCACATCCAAATGACCATATTCTTATGCTGTGGTCCTAGCAGGGATGGGTTCACACAGCCATCAGTGGCTTAAATCCCAGCACAGCTCTGGAGTGAGCTTCTGCTTCCTACCTAGGAGTAGCACTGATGGCTGAACCCTCAACATGTTCAGAGGTGAACTGCTTGTCCACCTCTGTGCTGTATCAAAGGGAATAGTGCCCTTGAGGAACAGACTGCGGGTGATACGCATTGCTTTGGAAATGCCAGAATCACCTTGTTTGCATAGCTTTGTGTTTATCAGAAGTGGTATAAATTCTGTGCAATGCCTGCTGACAGGACGTCGCTGAAGGTCCACCCCTGCTGAACGGTGAACAAGGTCAGAGTTGCCTGGGCTATATTTTGAAATGTCCCAATCCCAATGCCAATTTAGAGAAGCCCTATCCCAAGGCAGCGATAAGTCAAGGGTGGAAGGACTCTCCATTCTGTTGCAAAAGACAGGATAGCTGTTAGGAGACATCCATGTCCAGAGAAGCTTTGGAGGCACAGGGACCACATGCAGGATTGCTGTCATTGCTGCCTACGGCTGCCTGTTGGGAGCGTGTAGAGAAGCTGGAGCCAGACCCAGTGACAGGAAGAGATGCAACCGGGACAAACCAGAACATGAGCAATTCCAACCATATAAAAGGAAAATAGAAGAGATCAAAAACTGGAACAGAGAATTTGTGGCATCTCCATCCTTGGCGATACTCAAAGGCCCACTGGGGAAGGCCCAGAGCAACCTGACCTAACTGGAACTTCTTCGAGAAAAGGGCTGTGCTGGAGGCCTTGGAGATCCCTTCCTACCATAATTACTCCTCTGTGACTGCTAACAGAGCCTCTATCATGGCATACAGTGCTTACAGACATAACTCACCATAATTCTGGTTCTCACTGCCCTAGCACCTTGCATTAGGACATAGGTGATTATTTTGGACCAAGTATTCTAGTCTGTCCAGTCTATGCAGCAGATAGTCAGCATAAACAGAATCCTTTTGTACAGGTTCTTGTGGAGTAACAGAAGATTAATTTTCAATGCCCAATCCAAACACTTGGCATATGTTTTTATGTTTAGAAATGACTGTACCATCTACACAAGGCAGTAACAGAACAACACTGTGGGGCTTATTTCTTCCAGTACCAGCTCTAATCCCCGAGCAGGACTATTTTCTCTCTCTTACTCAGTCAGTAATAGAATGAACCATCCAAATGATTGCTCTGTTCTCATTAATTAAATGATTCTTCACTTGTCAGTGTAATTCCTGATTACACAAGCCATCTTTTCAACAACAGGCATTTGCATAAAGATACTGAACTTTAGCTTGTTCTTTAACAGAGATTTATTCCTAATTGTACTCCTGCTAATTATTGTCAATTTTCTTTACGGTTGCAACATATAAGTTCAGTTATTTAAAGGAAAACATAAAAAAGAAGCAGAAACCAGGGAGTGTAATTTTATCACTACACGGACAAGCTTGATAAATGGAAAGTTTATCATGAAACCTTGTAAAACTGCAGCTGAAAACAGATGTTGAGAGATAAAATACATACCAAGAGAAATTATAAGAGCATGAATATCTAACTGTATTAAATTCATACAGAGAAAAAGGAGATCCTGCTTCTATTAGACTTAGTAAACACTTTGTTTCTGAATTCACCCATTTGTGGAATCAAATTAATAGTTAACATGTTAAGAAGATTTAACACTACCAACCTGTTCCTAGTTATAGAACTTCCTATTTTTGTAGCACATTTTCAGAAATGAAAATCGTACTTTTATTGAAATTCCATGAAAAACAACATGAGGAAGGGAGGTTTCTTGCAAGCGTGCATAGCACGTAGGCACTGCTATACTTGCGTGCTGCAGGAGCTTCCCACACGATGGCACTCTTTCCATAAAAATACGTGCTTTTGCTGCGGTTCCTGGTGGGTGCCCTTACAGACTCTAATCAGATACCTGTTGGGTGGCAGACACTACAATCAGTTTGATACTTGATTTTCAAATTTAATAGATGACTAAAATAATAATGCATTAACTAAATGCTCTGAATGGTAATGATGTGCTGAATGCTGTAATTCCAGCAAATGCCTCTTCTCACAAGTCCCAAATTTTTACAACTGAACTTTTCCTTGACAGTCTTGGCTCCCTTGAGCCTGCTGTATTGGCATGGAGTAGTATCGCAACACAGAAGCCAGTAGTAAGAGTGGTAGAAAGTAATAAACAGGGTGCATGAGTTCCTGCTGTTTTGAAATACTATAGTCTTAAAAAGCTTACAAAAGAAGCCTATATATTGAAATAAACTGATTTGTCTGAAAAAATATGACCTTTAAACCTGCTTATGGATAGAGTGCAGGTCTTAATAGCTTTTTCTCTAGTAGGCAAACTGTTACAGTAACATTTTCAAGGCAATGATGTATAGTTATTAAGCTGCACAAAAGAAAATGTCTGCATGCACTTTAACTAATTTGGTCCCCAAATCACAGTGCCAAGTGATGTCTAGCAGATATAAGCACAGAAAACTGAACTGCCTGTGGTTTCCAAATCTGACAGTGATGTGAACAAATCCTACTGAATCAGTGGGAATAGGGCTGGATTCAACTCAGTAACTACGTACTTTGCTGCTGGCAGTGAAATGTAATTACTCCTGCAAAGTACCCACAGATAAAAAAAACCCCCAACTTACTATGACAGCAAGGTGTCAGGAATGCTACAAAATGGAGACATTTGTGACAACACTGGCTTTTTAATCATTTTATTCTGAGTTATCAGTAGCAAAAGATGCGACAGGCCATCTACAATGAGATCAGAAACGCCAATGCATAGTCCGTGATGTCAAAGGTTACTGAATATCAGCTTCCTCACTAGGAATGTGTTATCCAGAGGGATAACTTCACCCTTGGCACTGACAAGGAAGAGGAGATGATGAGGTGCTATTCTGTATTTAGTTCCCAGGATCAGGCTGCTGCAGAGAGGTGTGCAGAACTATGCAATGAATGCCCACTGTCAGAAGGGGGAGAAAAAGTAAATACATCAAAAAGGAAAAAAAAAAAAAAAAAAAAAGCACTATTTGTGTATCTCAGTGGGCTGTGCCTTGGAGGCCTGAGCCAAGGTCCCAGCCCTTGTGCCTGCTCCCGGGGAGCTCCTGGATAGCTCACACCGGTTGTGTTTGGGAGTGCTTGGTGCCTGCAGACGGGGCCAGGTAGTTAAAAGAGCTCAGGTAACTTCTGCAGTGGCTAGCCAAGAGTCAAACCCTTCAGGCAAAAGCTCCACACTGGAGCTTTTCTAAGAAAAATCTGGTGCCAAGTCTTTGTAGAGTTTGGTTCCACTCGTAAAACAAGACATAAAACTAAGCCGATTTGTGACCATCCTTCAGTTATTGAAGTAGACAGGTAGGAACCCACAAGGAGAGTTTTTTGTTTTAGTGAAGCAACTGCCTGAATCTTTCATATTCATGGCAATAACTGGAGTGATGCCAACCCCTACTGCATCTCCCTGATCAGGCTTTAGGTTTTGGCAAAGAAAGCTCATGTGTCTCAGCGTCAGAGCTCTTGCATATGCCACCTGCGAGGCTGGCTCAGGGCTTTGGTGCAGGAGAGGAACAGCCACTGCCCATCCCAGCTTGCTGCCTCCTCCCTAGGGAAAAGGCAGACCCAACCATGGGGAGGGAAATGGAATAAGATGGAAACAGGCAAGCAGGAGGTTCTTGGGGGTCCTTT